AAGATTGGAACTGGCAGTTGAGATTCTACGTAAAGATCCACTGTCCATTGGCTGTGACCATTCTGGACGCTGCGTTGACCTTGGATATTGAAGTAGACGACTCACTCATTGGTTCATTTTCAAGTCAAGATTTCTCGGAAGAAAGACTACTTGAATTTTCCGGTGAATTGCATTATCTGCTTGCGAGGATTACGAAAGGACATGCAGGAAGCATTGTCCGTGCTTGTGAACACTACAACGGACTAGAAGCTTGGAGATTGTTACACGAACAGTATTGGATTTCTGACAGACACAAAGGTATGGAAACATTGAGCCAAATTTTCCTTTATCAGTTTAGGAAAGATTTCTTCGAAGAAGATTTCGCAGACTTCATTGTCTTGAAGAAGAGATACGAGGAGACTGGTGGAGATGCATTGAGTGACGATGTTCTTGTCGCATTGCTTGTATCCAAGACCGAGGAAGCGCTGTCAGGTTTTCTTTTTGTTGCATCAGGATGCATTGGGAACATTCGATCAAGTCGCTGACTTAGTCAGGGGACATTGCAGACTCTGCCGATTTTCAGCAGGAAGATTGATTCAGTCGGCTACTCAGCATCAGTTGCTGCGGATGATTGTCAGTGAACAAGAAGAGAGGGGTTCTGAGAGAAAGAAAAGAATTGAAGAGATGAAGAAAGAAGTTGGATTTCGAGGAGTCACAGACTGGGCATTGGAACGGATGCTGTATCATGTCGAGAGGTTAAAGCGGATTGGAAGCAAAGGAGAAAACGGAAGGAAGACCAAAGAAGGAACGAAGATTGAAAGGATAGAGGATTATGACAAGGAACAGGACTCCAAGGAAATTGAGTATGACGAGAAGCCACAGGAGATTGGAAAGGAAAGGAAAGGAGAGTTTCTGGGAGAAGAAGGAGATGGAAAGATTGACGAGAAGGAAAGCACGTGTTTGGGAGATGAAGAGGATCGCGACAGAAAAATTGAAGGAAAAGAGGAAAAGGAAGAGGATCATGAAGATCACTGCAGTGAAGAGAGCTCGACGGATTGTTCGACTGAGGATGTTTGGCACTGCGATTGGAAGGAGTTCGAAAGAGATGAGAAAGAGAGTGAGGACAGAAGGAAAGAAGAAGAAGAAAGATTGAAGGAAAACAGAAGTGACCTTGTTGTAGACGAGGTATTGGACGTATTCATTCCGGATTGCCATAACGCGATTGATCATGGCGCGATTGCTTGCGTTGATTGCGTTGCTAGTAAGAAGTACTTCGAGCGCATGCATGATTCGATTGAAGACATGGACGTCAAACATTGTGTTTTGACATGGCTTAGCTCTGATTGTTCTCTAGATCCAACATCGTCGTGCGACCAGCTTGATTGCACGAAGGGCTTGGATTGCTGTAGTCAGTTCGACTGCGTTCATTCAGACATTGCCTTGGAAGAACCTTTTACACTGTCCAGATCTGAGATTGAAGTTCAGGTTTCATTTTCATCGATCGTTAAGCGATTGCTGGATTTCTTTTGTGACGTCACGAATGAGAATTTGGATGTTTTGAATTCAGAGGAGATTGGTCTCACTAGTATATTTCCTGTCCGAGAGCGATTGAGGATTGGTTTCGGTAGATTCAGATTTCTGCTTGTCATGATGATAATTGTTGTCGTGTTTTGCAGATCCGTGAGTGCTCCGATTGCCCGTAGAGCACCTTTGTTTGAGAATGAAGATTGGCCTTATCATTGGCGAGGATTCATTTCGGATCTTGGACCAGTTGAAGCTGACATTTGGATGAACGATTCGATTGACATTGATTCTCGAATTGATCTGACAGGAGATCATGATTCTTCGTTTGATCTCGATTATTGCGTTGAGTGCTTCAAGTCATTTCCTCAGGGTTATTCCATTGCTGAATCAGAGGATTTCTACTTTCAACAGGATCATGACTTTTGTCAAGATTCGTCACACGCGAATCTCTGTGCATTGGAAAGAGAGCACTGGAGCATCAGTATTGAACGTCTCGAGGACATTCCTGTCATTTCGCTCGGAGATACATTGTCGGTGTTCGATTTCAGCAGTTTTGGATCAGAAGACTCATTGACTGGATCCGAACGATTCCATCAAGACATCCCTGGATTGCCACATTCCACGTATGACGACGTCATCGGTGAAGTTTCACGGATTGATTTGGAATTCGGTTCTGAACTTTGGAGCTTGACTGGAACTACTGTCTCGGTATTCGAATTGTTATTGATATGTACCCGATTGTCACATCTTTATGATTCATATGATGGATTCCAGCACACCTATATCCATCACCACTTCTCATTCCCTTATCATTGTCTACTCCATCCATCATTGGCACCACTCCGTGATGATTGTCCTCTTGATCCATTTCATTCCATGTCATCATTGTTTAAGTTGCCATGCAAGGTTGGTCAAGACAACGGCCGGATAGAAATGACACGCATTTCAATCATTGTGCAGGCTCATTGCCGCTGTATGTCACAACTCATTGTAATAGATTTCATCCCAATAGAGTGCATTTTGCATGTTCGCGATGGCTGGTGTCACAAAAAGGACTGCAACTACGCACACAAGGAGGATGAGCTTACATTGAGCATGGGCATTGCAATCTGTATACCACGACCAATTGTAATAGATTTTGCCTTAATAGATTGTGATCCTACAGAGGACTCAATGCTAGCCGCAAAGGCGAGCTCGAACAACCTGTACGAGCACATCTGGCAACATTGCATTGGTTGGTGTGATCTGATGAGACAACTTTTGATGAAGATTGATTGCACGAGTCGCCATCTCGAGCCGAGGGACCGAGAGTATAGAGATTGTTTTGACATTCGCGTTCACGATTTATTTTCGCATTTCACAGAGGATTGTGCTCACTTCATTGACCATTTACGGCTTTTCGATGTCGACTCCCATTGGAGCATCGACGTCATTCAGAATGACCTAAACGTGGTTAATGTCACATTCGTGTCAGTGACTATAACACTTTCTGCTGATCGTTATTGTTACGTTCGGCCACATGAGAGTTGCATTCATTGGCCATACGAGATCGGTGTTCATGGGTCACGTTGCACCATCTCGAGCATTGTGCGTCGTATGAATCTTTGTGACAATTGCGGATTGCTCATTCACGTCGCGATGCGGTTGCATTCCGTGATTTATAAAGAACAACGACTGTGCTCAGTAGCGCATTACAGTTGTCGGTATGTGCAAGGGCATGGAGATTGTACGATTGACCCCGAGTATCATTCCTCTTGCCTTGACGAAGATTGCCGTCCTCGACACCTTTCATTGAATAAGAGAGAGAACGAGGGAATCTGCTGTTTCGGAGAGATTGGCAGACATGTGATTGTGATCTTGATTGATCTCATTGTGGAGACCCTCAGGAAAGACCGTGTCATTGACACTAAGGAAGTCAAGATCTGTGTCTTCATTCTCTGCTGCAATTGTCGTTGGGAGACTCAAGCTTATCCATTGACGCACCGCGATTACATTCGGATCAGTCAGTCGCTGGAAGGTGCATTGAGACTGACTTTTTGAGATTGCTGTATGCGATCTCACGTCAGCATTGCGTCATCCATGTCTCTGATCAAGACTGCAGTGGATTTTGTTATACATTGCATCACAGTTGCTCTTTTCTCTCGATTGTTCCGATTTCGTCGTGTGAGCACCTTATTGTGTTGCTCCACCACTCACATTCGTTATTTTCTGATTTCGGTTCTTGCTTTTCCTTTTATTGGATCAACATTAACTTGTTTGTCGATTGGTCTGATTGTGTCCACATCCATACTTTGTCGCTTTCCTATTGTACCTCAGATTGCATTTCAAACCGCAAGAGAGAAGTTGTCCAGATTGAAGAAGACCCGTGGGATTGCTCTTGCGTATTTGGCAAGTTACTGTCACTTGCACATTGTGATGCATCTTGCTGCCTCTACGGACGCCGTCGCGTCACCGAGGAGACCTTCGGATTGACTGAGGAACCTTCGATGGCACTTCATGGTCTGTCACTAAGGATTGCTGTCATCAAAGACATGTTCTGTTGTGAAGGCATTGTGGACATAGGTCAAAACATGCACATGATTTGACTGGAAGCAGGGAGATTGCTTGCAGTTAATCATCTGGTATGCCTCATTGTCCGTGTGTGTGTGTCAGAGTTCATTACGCGACCATTCCTTCATGATTCGGAACTTGGTGTGACTGAGGGACCGATTCTCATTGTCCTTCATGTCGGGACATTCCTTTTAGGATTACCTTCATCCCACATTTCATTGCACGAAAGTTTGTCGTGTCGGTCGTCACTGTCTGGAGATCCTCATTGTCTCTGGTGAGTTGATCTCGACTTTGTCGGACTGAGCATTGCTGATGAAGCATCAAATCGAACAAACATTGTTTCATTGGTTTCACGATGAATTGATTGAGTTCTGATCCCTGGCCTTAAGCATTGAAGCGGTCTTTTCTTGAGACATCGCTCATTTCCTCAGGGGATTTTAGTCTGTTGCATGTATCCAATTGTTTGGCAAGGGCCTTACTGTGGCAAGAGCCTTGGCTTGCTCCGTGTGAAAGTGAGATGTGAGAATTGAGAGAACACTCTCTGATTTTCTATTATTATTCTTCATTGGTTGAGCTTTATCATTCCGGAGATTTGTCGTCAGGAAGATTGTCTTTTGAATATGGTGCTTGGCACTGAACCATCGACGTGTTTAAGCAGTAGAAACTTGAAATGGAACTTTTTTTCAGATTGTACAAAATTTCCTGACATGTTGAGCCGAACATTCAATGTTTCGAGCTTCACACGATTCGGATCTTGCTGTGCGAACAGCATTGTATATAGCTTGGATGTCGACTGAAGGAGAACACGTTTTGAGATTTTAGCCTGGAGTGTGTCTCTTGTGATTGCTTCTTGATTTATTGCTCCCGCTTGCGATCGATATTAGATTGAGAGAAAACATTTTCGTCACAAGTGCGATAGATCGATGCCGCGGATTTAGATTGTTGCCATGGCTGATTCCGCGACGATTGCCAGAGCATATGAATATGCGATTGGTCAACCGCCATTGGCATCCCCTCAGGTTTCTCCATTAGAGCAGTTTCGGCGGATTGTGGCAAATGTGAATGAACGTTGCCATTCATCGAACCATCCAGAAGCCTGGACTGCGCAAACGATTCTTGCAAGGATGCGCGAGGCGATTGCCGTATTCTATGCACACTTGGCATCCACTCTGTCATCGCTCGAATTACGTCAGTGGAAAGCATCGTTGATTGAGTGTACTCAGGTCATTGACCACTATGTCACGGAGACTTTGCTAGATGGGATTGCCCATCTCAATTGCCCTGCTGTAATGGAAATGGCTGAACTTCTACATGATGCATTGATTGCATATTCGCGTCAGGACACGAGATCTACAGGTCGCATTGCAAGTCTTGAATTGCAACTCGGTTGGACCATTGGCAACCGATTCGCAAAGACATTGATTCCCGACGGCTACTCTGTTCATTGTGGATACGCCAATTGCATTTGGTTGAATTTGATATCAGTTTGCAACCATTGCATTGCTACTATGGCACCTACGGAAATTGCAGGTGGCATTCCTGCATTTTCATTGAACTTGTCATTCCTTCTGGTTGACAAAACAGCTGAGTGCTATTGTGCATTGAAGGCCTTATTCACTCGTGCAATTGCTGTTACTGCATTCAATTGTCGAGTCTACAATCCTGTAGACGGACTTGCAGATTGGTTCGTCTGCATTGCTCTTCCAGCATCCATTGCGGACTCGCTCATGAATCATAGACCAACGGAGATCACGACCCCATTGGGTCAACTTACCGCGCATTTTAATGCCGATGCTGCATTGCGAAGACTCAGACATTGGTTTCGACAGGGCAAATTCACGGCCATACAAAACCGTGAATTGGTCAAGCTGATCGTATTTCGACCATCGCTTGCCATGATTGATACACGTCTCAAATGCTCAGAAGGAACAGGAGGGTTTCTTCGTTACCATAATTGCTCTTTCATGTGCAATTCATGGTCGTTGGCCATTGACAGTCAACATGATCCGATTGCGGGCAAGTATACCTATGCATTGGATGGATTGGTTCGACAGTATGGTATTGTCCTCACACTTCCTACAATGACTGTCGAGTCATTGTCATCTTTGATTCAGACTGCAGATTGTGACGAAGTTGCGGATGAAGACATTGCCTTAGGTGGCACTGTTTCAGGTACACCATCATTGTTATCCTCGATGACCAGTCAGGAATACGACATTGTGGTCACGGCAGCGGCTGCCATTGCAAAGAAACGCAAAAGGCAGTTGAAGCTTGAAGATTGACCACTGACAAAATATTGCAGAACAACGGATTGGTCTCATTCCATTCATACGCATGCATTGCTCTCGACGACATTGACTTTGATTTTTTATTCTGATTCTTTCTGCCCGACTGCATTGGATATTGATACCCCGTTGCTCGGATTGAGCACAAGACAAATCCTGCAGATACTGTCAATTGAATGCTGATCCCATTTGCTTCTATGATTGCGATGTACCGATGGAGACACTGTTTCCTGGATGATGATTGCTCATGGTTGCACACTGGGCAACTGCATGAGATTGTTCAGCTCTGAGTGCGAAAGAACCGAGATTGTTTCTGAGATTTTAGTACAGTTCTGCGATTGCCATTTCACCGTTAGATTCACGGCTTTATTGATTCGAACTACGTTCTGATGATTCTGATTCTTGTTCGATTTGAATTACGGTATAACTGTTGTACCGATGAAAGAGCGGAGATTGTACAGCTGTGGTTGTTGACATACATGTCACAACCAAGGGACCGTGTTAGATTGCATGGTCAATCTCCTGCTCCTATTGGCTACGGACATATCAATGCCTGAACCTTGGCATTGGCTCAAGACTGGCTCATTGCATCCAGACAAAAGTCTGAGACCGAGTGATTGCATTCTGGAGCAGATTGAGATTTTCTGTTGATTGTTGTTTGCAGATTTATTGCACACTCCTGGCATATCTCGAAACGACCACGGAATTTTTTCATTCAAGCCCGGTTTTTGTCCTTCAGGCCCCCTTGAAGCCCCCCTTCTTGAAGCCCCCCCTTCTTGCCCCCCTTAAGCCCCCCTTCAAGCCCCCCTTAAGGGGGGGACCCTTAAGCCCCCCCTTCAAGCCCCCCCTTCGTCGAAGGTCTGGGGCCCAGCCCCGTTTTTAGCAGCCGAGCAAAAGACAGAGAAGCCACATCCAGTCGTGGCGCTGTGACAATGAATTCAGGTCCAGCTTTCCACCGCAGGTCTCGCAAGGGACGGAAGCGCAATTTCCTGATTAACTGGTCACTTGGCTTGGCATCCCACAGCCCAGCTTTCCACCAAGATGGACCTCGCAAGCGCGCCTCCAGATCACACACAAGCGAACACAGCAAAGGTAGGAAAGCAACAGAGACTGCAAAGGCCTTGCAGGGCCAGGCCGGCGCTTTGCAATGAGATGCAAACCGGTTTCGAAGGTCGGCGGGTAAGTGGAAGGTGGCAAAGTAAGGCAGTCTCATCAACCGGGCCAGTCTTTTAAGGAGCCCTTGCACTGCACAATGACGGCCCGATAGCTCATCATCAAGAGTATGTTAAAAGGTCCACACGTTCGCCCAGTTCGCATCGCCCAGCTGTGCTCTGGTGAACCAATACGTTTGAGGCTTGGTGGTAATTCTTGTTTCCGGAATTGCCGGACCGCAGTCACCCACTTCTCGTTGATCCCGGCGCCGGGCGGATACGCCACGAAAGTGTTGGCAGCCGCAAAGTTCCTTCTAACAATCTCAGCGAAGCGGAGGGTGTTGCTGTGCGTTTTGGTTCTTTAACTCCATTAAACCCCGTAAGAAATATTCTGGACCTGTGTCAAAGCCGCATCGGCACGCAGTGGTCACACCGCCTTTCTCTAAAGAATCTTTGACCAAAATCCAGAGAGATGCAACCTAATGAGTGTCCAAAAAAGGGGCTCAGGAATTCTGCTGTGGCCAAGTGAGTCGCTCCGCCATGTTGTCCTTATGCCGGACTTTGTGAGTTGAGTTTTGTGCACGCGGTGAACTTCTTCCGCCGTGTGCAACATTTTTTTGCTCTGCGCTTCTGGTTACATGTTCTGTTGAGAGGGCTGTTACTGTTCGCTTACAAGTCTGCATCCGCACTTTTGGTGGGAGCTAGATTGTAGATAACAGCGAAATGCACCTGGAGTCAAGTCATAAAAGAGACACTAACCATGAAATTCAAGACTCCGATTGCATAATGAAACTGACACAAAGAGCAGTTCAAACACTGGTGTTCGAACCCGAAGTTTGAGTGTTCGAACCTGAAAATGCTGATGTTCGAACACAACACTAGTGTTTGAACACCGGAGTTCAAAACACCGTGTTGAAACACCAGCCTTCGAACGTTCGAACTGGAGTTGAACTGGAAGTTCAACTGGAAATGGCGGCGTGTCGCAGCTAGTTCTGTCCAACCATCTGTGTGCCATTGCGCGACTTAGTCCAACTGGAAATCTGAGCGGTGGTTTGCTGGGTGCCGGGCATGTCTTGCCGAACGACGTCTGCCGGCTTTGCCTTTGATGGTGCGAGGTTCAGAATCATTGCAGCCTGGTCAAGCGAAGTTACTGACCAGTTTTGGCAGAATTCGGCGGGACTTTTGGGAGGGTGCAAATCCGACATAAGTCGAAACATGATGAAGATCTCGATCAGGCTCGCAACTTTTATGTTCTCTGCACTTCTTCCGACTTGGATGGCACAAACTAAAAGAGCGTGTCCTGATCTTGGAAGAGAGAAGACATTGCATTTTCAACGTTCTCGCTGTGTGTTTTGCGCATTCTCTTGCCCTCCGGTGGTTTCGCACGACTTCCGGCCTTCTCTGGCTGTGTTTCGAGTTTCGACGCTTCCACGGTGGTTTCGCGAATTTCCTTGCGTTGAGTCAGAATTCCAGTCAGCACGGCTCTGTATTCGCGCATCCACGTGAACGGTGATTGTGGGCAAAATAGATGGCTGGTGCTGGACATTGAAGCCATCACACACCAACAAGAAGATGAAAAACAATTAGAAGACAATTAGCATCATTAGCGAAGAGTTTTTTGCGCTACGTTTTAGAATAGAACCATATTGTCATAGAGTGAAGTGCATCTAATCATGAAACACATAGTAATAGATCGATGTATTTGAAATCCCGTCAGCTTGTGTCGGGACTAGGGGTTTTTGGTTCTAGTGCTTCTGGGTTTCAAAGTTTCTGGGTTCAGGGCTTCTGGGTTTAGAGGTGTTTAGGTTCCAGGGGTTCTGGGTTTAGCACTGCGGTTTAGGGCTTCTGGTGCTTCTGGGTTTCAAAGTTTCTGGGTTCAGGGATTCTGGGTTTACGGGTGCGAGAACCCTTAAATTGAGCATTGTGGCACACCCGTGGTTGCATTGGCGCTCGACAGGAGACTGCAGGAACCCTTGTTTGATGATTCCATGGGCGTCCGAATAAGAGGTAGCGTGGCTGCATGTGTCTTTGTGCGTCTACTGAATCTTGCTCGCGGCCATTCCCTTGTCACCGGTTCACAGACGGGGTTGATGACGACCGCCATCATATCCCGGCGACGGGACATGTCCGTCTGTGCCTGGGCCTGCGTATGTAGTCCATGAAACAGGCGTAGTTTTATGGCCCATACAGCCCTTTTATCGGGCCTTGCATGGTGAGACACAAAGGCAGGGATGATTTGTTGCAATAGGAGCCAGACCGGAGACCTGACTTTTGCAAGCTGTCGCCAGAAAGTTTGGTGCCGTGACCAAGAAGCTCAAGAAGGGCATTCAGCAGCACCAGCGTCTTTTGCCAGGGTGCCCAGTCCCTGAGATTTATGCGTGAGGCTCAGACAGTGAGGAAGGCATCTATTCGAAAAGTACAAATTTTCCATGATTGGAAGGTCCAGTCAGCCTATGGCAGGCCTGAAGCAGTGACTGATGAGTCGCTCATTGATCCGGAGATACTGTCTGATGACCACCAGAATCCCTCGCCGCGCCGTAAATGCAGCACTGGAAACAGTGGTTCCCCGCTTCCACCCTCTGCCCATAAAGGGGTGGAAGCGAGAACCCCTGTTCCGGCAGGTGTCCGTCAATGCGTCCGCCAGCACGGTTTGCAAATGCACAGCCTTTGTCGCGGACTTCCGATGAGGTTTCTGACAGCACATCCAGTTCAAGCTCTTGAAGTTCCAATTCCTCGTCAGCCTCTGACTCCTCTGCCATCGCTGAAAAGACCAAAAGCAAGTGTGCCGGAGAAACCCGTACGCTTGTGAAGCGTGCCAAAGCCAGAGACAAGAAGAAGGAATCACCGTCTGCGAAGCGTGCCAAAGCCAAAGCCAAAAAAAAGGAAAGGCCAAAAGCAAAACAGAAGCTTTCTGCAACAAGTCCAAGCCGAAAACTGGTGCCAAGGCGAAGGCGGAACCGAACCCGCCGAAGAGAGCCAAGTCCGCACTTGACCCGACAGCATCCAAACCCACGACGAGGTTGATCTCCGATCAGGCTGCTGCAGACAAGAAGCGACCGGCCAGTGCTGTTTCGTCGTCCTGGGAGGCCGAGCCGCGAGGGCGAAAGGGCTTCGATTGGACAGATACTGCTGGTGCCAGCAGCCCGAAGGAGGTAGAACCAGAAAACCCCAACAAGCCGTCTTTTGCCAGCGAGGCATACAAAACCCTGCGCGAGCCTCAGTAAACCCATTCTACCCTTTTGACCGTATAAGGCTTATATAGTGCCTATATCAGGCCTATATAAGATCCTTTGTTTAGGGGTCCACCCGCAGGGGTTCTACCTACAGCCCTGTTCTGTGTTTAGCACTGCGGTTTAGGGCTTCTGGTTTCAAAGGGTTCTGGGTTCAGTGCTTCTGGGTTTCAAAGTTGCTGGGTTCAGGGCTTCTGGGTTTAGGGGTTTTTGGTTCCAGGGGTTCTGGGGTTAGCGCTGCGGTTAAGGCCTTCTGGTCTCAAAGGGTTCTGGGTTTAGTGCTTCTGGGTTTTCTGGGTGCAGGGCTTCTGGGTTTAGGGGTTTTCGGTTCCAGGGGTTCTGGGCTTAGCGTCGCGGTTTAGGGCTTCCGGTTTCAAAGGGGTCTGGGTTTAGTGCTTCTGGGTTTCAAAGTTTCTGGGTGCAGGGCTATTAGAATTATTACTAGTATTACGACTATACTTCTATTACTACCATATACGATTATTACTACTATTACTACTAATACTACTATTACTGCTATTACTACTATTACTACTATTACTACTATTACTACTATTACTACTATTACTACTATTACTACTATTACTACTCTTACTACTATTACTACTATCTCGCG